AAAAAAAAAAAAATCCCAACCTAAAGAATTACATTGAACCCTTACTTTACATCTTATAAAAAATTACCTAAAAATAGATAAAGGACCAAAATGTAGGAGCTGAAATTATAAAACACAAAGAACAGGACGAAAGCTTCATGGTACTGAACTTGGCAATGATTTCTTTAATTGTGAAATCAAACATAAAATTTAAGATGATGAAAATGTTCAGGCCATAAGTATCTGTAGATGAAAAGATGAAAGCCCTTAATGCCATAGAACCATACCCTTGATACTGGTTGAAATGCTAGATTTTATGTCACTTGTACCCTCCATTATAAAAAATTTAACATGTTTCATGCATCTAGAAGAATTAGCTTCTCAATTAAACTAGCAGTATATCACAGGGATTCCCAAGATGGCAAAGGGAGAGCATAGGGGAAAAGTATTCCAAGATATCCAAGGTGATACAGCATGACGAAGGATCAGTGTTGGCATACAGACTCCCAGCTTGCTCTGGCTGAGGTCGAGACTCATCCCCAAGAATTTGATCTACAATAGTGATGTCAAGGTTTCTCTTGGCAATTTATATTGTGGAGGATGAAGACTCATGAGCTTCAGAGTAGGTAAAACCAGGTGTAGAACTTAGTTTGGGGTGGGGAGAGGACAACAATAAGGCTCATAAGAAAGCCTAACTGTAATTTGGGGACTAGCAGGTAGCTAAGGGCTGGAAAGGGCAGTGGATGGAGGAGGTGAGGCCCTGCAGAGAGGAAAGGTTGCAGCCTTGGGAGGATCTAGCCAATGAGAATCTACAAGGAGAATGGCAATTACTTTGGAAGCCACAGCCAGCATTTCCTATGTTGGTATTTGTGCTATACCATGCTTTTTCCCTCATTGTTAGCCTCTTAGAAATGTTTGCCAAACTCACCAGGCTTGGGGGGGGGGGTTGTTGAAGGAGCAAGGAAAATGTTAGGAGGGGGTACACGGGCGTGGGGGCCAGAAGGTATCCTGCAGCAAGGCAAGCATCTGCTGAAGGCCCTCAGAGTTACCTGAGAAGAGGCCACGGTGGACACTGGAGGACATCTGGTAGTGGGTCCTTAAGTTACATAAAATGTTTTTCGTTTAGGGAATGAGAGGAAAGTGCTATTGCTGTTACAACACAAACTATAGAAAATAAGGAACTACAAAACTTTTCAGACCCTTGGGATAAACTGAGTACTTAGGCATGGACACTTTACCCTGGGGAAATGCATGTGGAGTTGGTTGATGCAGTATTTGTATGTTATTTGTATGTTTTGGAATTATTAGCTTGATGTTTAAAGGAGGGTATTACTATTTATCTTACAGGATTATCATGAAGATAAGAGGTTAATAATATAGAAGTCCCTAGTCATGTAGAAGAAATACCTTTGTTGCCTGCTGCTTTTCCTAGCAAACTTTGGTTAAATTTTCTGTTCACCACTCTGTCCACCAGAGGGCAGGTAAAGAAAGAGATTGGAGGTGAAAATGTAGTTTTAGAACTGAGCTACTCATTTTCAGACCTTGTAAATACTGATTCAAAGTCAGTTTAAGGTTAGTAATAGATGTTTTAACTGCCTTCCTTAGCTTGTTTTCCCCCTTCACGTGACTTCTATTCAGCCATAATTTATCAAGTCCTTTCCTATAAATTTTTCTTAAAGCAAACAGTATGATTTTGTATTGTAGAGGAAATAATTTATAGCTCATTTTCCTGCTTTGTTACTTACATTCTGACAGCATTTCTAAATACTGAGTAAACAAGAATGTCTCACTAAACTCACTGTCTAATAAACTAAGGTTTTTATCAGTTTTAAACAGACCAACTGCTCAAACATCTGTGACTGTGACTCTGCAAAACAAATGGAAATGTCCCTGGAGGGCAGCGGGAGGAAGGGAAGGGAGGGTTTTTTTCTTGAATGTTCCCTTTAAGAGGAAGTAAGAGCCATAACAGAAGTATTAGTCAGTGAACGCTGGGGGTCAGAAAGATTTTTCCATTGTAGCAAATTACAGTGCCATTAGACTTTTTTCATGTCACATACTTTTCAGAGGTCCACGGCTTTATCAGGCCACTGAACTTACTTGCTTTGTAACTAATGTCCTACTTTTTCCAGACTTAACTGGCACTGTTCCTACCTAAGCTGAGATCACATGGCTCACTAGGTCTGACCAGTACATCATGACCACAGGAAGTCACATGCTTCAGATTCCATTCCCAGCTCCCTGAAGAGCCTAGAGCGGCTGGTGCTGGAATGCTAGCAGGAACCTTCTAGTGAAATCCAAGATGTCTCTAGCTAAGGAATAGCAGGCTTCCATCCTGCTTAGGAAATAATTTTAAGATGACTCAAATGGATGTAAAAGGGCCAAGTGAGCACTTTAGCTGCGATAGAAAAGGAAAGGAAAGCACATCCAGAGAACAAGAGTGTCTTAGGAAAAAAATGGAAGGATGGAGAAAATAAAGGAAGAATAAAACATTTCTACAGCAGAGAAATGTCTTCATAAGGTTTCCCTAAACTGCAGTCAAAGAAGAACTTTCTGAAAAAAATTTCACCTTCTTAATGACCTTGGTCACTCTAACCTAACTTTTATTTGGTAAGGGAGTGGACATGGTTCTAAGGCCAGTCCTACTCCCAGGGTCATGGGAAGCCAGTGTCCTTACCTCAATAACTTCCTGCTCAGCCAAGAATGGAATTGCCAGGGGCACATCAGCAGACAGCACCTGATAGCCAGAGGCCCAGGTGATGTACAATCTTCCTCCATAGAACTTTCTCTAGGAGGACACAGCTCCCCGACCCTTTAGCTGCTGTCATGAATGGCAAGGTCAGCACTCTGACTCCTTTGACCTTGCCCCTGAGCCTAATGAATCATTATATCTGTGTGTGCCATACCACTGCCAACAGCTTGGCATCTCCTGGAGCTTGTTCGAAAGGCAGAACTGTGGGCCTCATTCCAGATTTATTGAACCAGAACCTTCATTTTAAGCTCCTTGGGCTGTTTAAGCTCTTTCAATACAAAGTTTGAGAAATTCTCTGACTGTATCAAGCCGCTGAGACTGGAGGGAATAAGAAGCCTCTGAAACGGGAAATCACATGATTCTACCTGTAATTGAGGGAAATCATTCTTGCTGCAAAGTGTTAGCAGAGACCCATACAGGAGACAAGGTGGCCAATGAAAAGGCTAGTGCAGTTGTTTTGGGGAGAAATGGCCTTTGTCTGCACTGCGCATTGGGCACAAGGGGTGGAGGGAAGCGGCCAGACCTCACAGACGACACAGAAAGCATCAACATGACCTGGTAGCTGGGGATGCCTGGCCCAGCCCTGGAATTTCATCCAAATGCATGGCCCTCTGACAACTGAGAATGGGTGGGGCTGAGGAGCCGGCAGGGCATGCCATGGGGTGGAGAAGGCAGTATCTGTGGGTGTGGGAACCACAGACTCAAGCACCCGAGTCCCTCTGTGTCGGCACAAGTTGCCTCATACAGAATGTGAGCAAACTGGTTTCAAACATGTGACACATGTCCTGTTGGTGCTAGTGCTTACCCAGCCCTACAGCAGGTAGCAGAGCCCTGGTGGTATGGTACTCCTATACTCACTTGTAGGGTTTTATAAGCCACACACAAGGCAGGAAGCCTGTGAGGGTTCTTGGGGGGACTTCAATACTACTGCACATGGACAGCTTTGGTCAGAGA